ACGAATCAATTGTTCAGTACCAGCTCTCATTGACTACGTTACCCATACAATTATAGAGGATTAGTGGCTGAGACAATGGGCACATTAATTAGGCACAGCAGGTGGTAGTCTAATCATTTCCACCGGCTTTGGATTTGGGAAACTGATACAGCATAATTTATCTCAATCGCCAATGATAGTAACAGCGGGTGGTAGTCTAATCATTTCCACCGGCTTTGGATTTGGGAAACTGATACAGCGTAATTTATCTTAATCGCCAATGATAGTAACAGCGGTCTTTTGTTTAATAGTTAATGCCAACCAAACATGGTAACCAACTTCCGAGATGGATTGTTTTCATTTATCTTAATTGCCAATTATTGTAACAGTTGTTTCCTTTTCATTAAATAGCGCTAATCAAATATTGTAATTATTATTTGAAGTGTATTGTTTTTAATTACAAACACTGGCTAAAATGCAGCTGGCGCATGATAGAAGTTAACCCCTAAAATAGGGTTAGTACACAAAACGAATCGAACTGGGCTTCGGGCAGCATACTGAGGGCAAGGAAGCGGAGGCAGAGAGTAGCAACCGACTGACATAGCACCAACGACGGTCCGCCAGCTCTACATATTCAACTACGTGTATCACAGGACGCACATTGGATCCATATCCATTTTGTCCCTGACACGTCGCAACACAGCCAACTCTCTACAAGAATCCATATCCCTGCGCTCAACCTAAGTATTAACAACAATGTTGTATTTAAAAGTCACGTCTTATCTTATCAATATATATTTATAACTAAGTAATTTTGGTGTTTCTTCATCATTGTGTGCGTCTGCACGCGTTACGACCCGGACCCTCAAGCTGAAGCCAAGTGAGTCAAAAATTCCCCAAATGCAGAATTAAGCCGTTTCTCTCTCACTCCTGGTCCGAAACAGAACTCACGCCAACCCGATCCGATTGAAACCATCACCCTGACAGAATCATGGGAGGAAACGGTGTGCATTGCAGTGTGATAACTGACTTAGTCTTTTCCACGACACTAAACCCTAATCCTAACCCTAACCTTACATTTTGAACGACTTCAAACATCGCCACGTCACAGAAATAAATTTGTTGCGAATATCTTTTCTGCCTACGTTGCAGTTCGATTAATTTGTGCTGACATGACGTGACAGTCATTTTGGAATTTTTGAACACTGATGGCGTGTTTTGAAATTTTATCAGATATTATAAGGCCAATGGAAATAAATGCGAGTTAGTATTAGGGTTAAGGTTTCGTTTCGTGAAAAGTTTATTGACAGGT